TGTTCTGATATGAGAATGATTATGCTAAGATTTGTTTTCTGCTTATGATATGTTTGGATTTCGTTCACTAACCTCTTTATCTTAATGTTATTCATTGGGCTTTAGCTCACTGTTTGTATATATATATATATATGTGCATTGGTGAGCATTCTAGAGTACAAGTTTGGAGACTTTTTGTCTGGATCTGTGTTCTGTTGTCAGCCAGCCATTGTGTCTCACGTGGAAGTTCTCGAAGTGTCCTGTGTTCAAGTTCTATTGGTCTTGTGTATATATATGACTTGATGTAATTCTGTTGGCTATACTTCAGATACTTTAATATGTGTGGGTATAATGTATGATTGACTTTTGACTATGTATGTAAAGTTTTAAACATTCTGTTTCATATAAGTCAGCACAGCTCATTAGACAACTATATTTTTGTATTTGCTTCCGCTAGCCCCTCATTATATGCTTATCTGTTCAGAGGCCTTCGGTAATCCAAGGATTACTGGCCGGTTACGATGCTAAACCTATAGGGACGGGTTTGGGTCGTGACAATTGGGCCAGCCCAAGGCTTGGACCCGACCCATTTCACATTTAGCCCCTTCATTTGCCCCCTAGCTCGCGCTAAGGTTCCCCTTGGGGGGAAGCTATTGTTCTGCTTCCCAAGCGTCGCGTCGTTTTGGTTTTTCCCAGTTCGGCCTTGGTGACGGTTCAATCCTGACACACAATCCCTGCATGTGTCCTTTCATGGTGACACGTGGCGATATGAAATGGGTGTGCAGAGATAGTGCGTCGATTCCATACTGAAGGTCGTACTCCGTGTACCTGCGCGCCGGCTAGTGCAATTAATGCTCTGGCAATCGACACAAATCCCTTCATCTGCTTTTTCGTTCCTCTAGAGTGTTTTAAAGAGAGAAAAAGAACTCTTCCCGTTCCTCTGAACCAGTCTCGTTGGTGCCTTGCTCAGACTTTTTCACCACTGATCTTACTTTGCAACCACTGTTCTAATCTCTGTAAGTCCTCTTGTGATTCTTCTTCTCTTGCCTCTTTTTATCTTATTCATCTTGTTTGGCCCACTCGCTGTCTGTGTTCCATACTCTGTTATCTAAGTCCTACGTCTGTCCCTTTAGGTTTGTTAAATGGGGAAGTTTCGTTCACTAGTTGATACCCCCGAGGCCGTGGCTATCTTCCGCCTGGACTATAATATTCCCAACGACGTTACCCTTTCGTTAGCGAAAGTAGACGCCAAGCGTATGGGCACGAGGAATACCGTTGTTTTTCCCATTGCGGCCATAGTCGATGGAGGGGTTCGGTTTCCTCTTGACCCGTTGGTACGCCGGTTTCTGCATCAAGTCCAGTTAACTCCAATGCAAGTATCTGTGAACCTTTTTCGTGTTGTTTACGACGTATCTGCCCTCAATAGACGATTCGTTTTGAACCTTGACATATGGGATATCTTAGGTTGTTATACTCTTTCTCATAACAAAGACCACAACACATATTACTTGCGTGTTCACTCGTTTGATTGCCATTTGGTTACTGGGTTGCCCGATTCGGATAAGCACAACGATGATTTCTTACAAGTTGGTGGAAACTGGGAGTTCCCGCCAGAACTGAGTTTCAGTCTGAGAGGATGCCCCAGAAAGACGGCTACTTAGGTTCGGGCCTCTCCATCTAATGCCTTTTGTATTTTTTACTTTATTTTGGATGTTGCTCTGATGGATCACTTCTTTTTTGCAGAGGCCTCTCGTTTCCAACAAAGACCGAACCGAGAGAACGCTGAAGCCATAAAAGTGGCCTTGAGGTATAAAAAGAGATCTGCACCCGAGTTATTGGAATACCAATCTACTAACCGTTTCACTATTTCAAAGAAGGCGAGACTCGCTGCTGCCCTTCTGAACTCTGATATCGAGACCGACACGTCTCTCACTCCTTTGGTCATGAACTGTCACAGGAGTCAAGGTGCACTTTCTGAGAGAGCGCCCTCCCCTGCCCCCAGTTTCGCAGGGGGCGGGTTTGTGGCGAAGAGAAGAGTGTTGGTGGATTTAGAGGCGGAGGCTTTCGGAGCCTCCGATGTTTTGGAAACCCCTCCGGAAAGGACCGAGGTGAAGAGCCTAATGGAAGTGAAGATAAAGGTGGGAGCTTCTGGGACCCCTGCAACTGCTGCCGAGCCCTCAGCTTCGGTCGCTGCGCGAGCAAAAAAGAGAAGAAGAGAGGCTAGCAAAGCAGTAGTGGGGGAAGCTTCCGAGGATCCTACTAAGGATGAGACTTTTGAGAAATGGGAGCCGCCAATGTCGCATAAAGGCAGGCCCATTTCCACTTCTGATTCAGTTGTTGCATCACAAGATTTTACCTTTGATTTGACTAAGTTTTTATTGATGCTGGTTGACATGGCCGACCATAATGGGCCCCGTGATATTCCTTTCCTGAAGGGGACCCTTCAGATGATGACTGTTGTAAGTGTTTCCTCGTTTTACTTGTCTTTATTGTTGCGTTGCTGTCTCATTTTCTCTTAATTCTTCGTTGTCCTTTGCAGTGTATCCAGAGAATGCATCTGTTCATTACCCGTGCTGAAGAGCTAGAAAGGGCCATGCTGGAGGTCGTAATGAACGCTGAGAGACTGACGATAAGCTTGGAGACAGAGAAGGAAGGACGTCGAACCGCGGAGAGGGAAGCATTTCGGTTGAACAAGATTGTCGCTTCAGCTGAAAAATCGAAGGAGGCTGCTATTGGGACACAGGCTCAACTCGAGGGGAAGGTGGCCGAACTGGAAGCCGTTATTGCTGTGATGGCCGCCGAGCGCTCTGCTTTGGAGGCCAAGCATTGGCAACAAGGCTGGGATGAAGCTGGGGCGGCGTATAAGGATGAGGTGCTAGTACTGCGAGACAAGCTCTTTCTAAAGGGTTGGACGAGTGCTTTGGCTGTTGCGCTGGTTCTTGAAGGCTCTTCCCTGTTTCAGGATGTCCTCGTTCCTTCGAGATCTTTGGGTTCGAAGACTGTTTCCATCCTTGTTGTTCTTCTAGTCGAAGTTTCCCCAGAAGCTGATTCTGCAAACAAGACCTAGGACAGTAATGTTGCCGCTGAAACGGTGGATGTTGAAGGGATTGAAACCCTAGAGACCGAAGCCGCGGGAGATGTGGTTATGGAGGCTTCTACTTCTCAGGAAGTTGGAGCTGCCTCTACTTTTCCTCCCCCAGACGGCCTGGACAAAATTGCTGATGCTGCTCCTGAATTGCCCTCTGTTAATGAAAATTGATGTTGAAAGGATTTGAACTTTTTTGCTTTTCTATTTTGATGTATTGTGGCTCAGTCTCCATGACGAGATTTCTTTCTGCACTTGCCAAGACAATTTTTCTTTTCTCTTTTGTTTTCTTTGCTGCTGGTTATGGGGTCGCCTGTGCCTTTTGTTGGATGATAAACTTTTCTATATTGTCTATGCCATCTGGTTATGGGGCCATCTGTGCCTTTTGAACTTGCAATCTGATGCTGTTTGAATGTTTTCTATACTGCCTGCCCCCGGCCGAGCACTGTTAGGACCTTGGGGCCGAATAGATGCTCGGTCTGGTTCTGTACTGCTTTTAAATAGATGTTTTGTCTGATTCTGTACTGCTTGTCCCCGGCTGAGCATTGATGGGGCCTCGGGGCCGAACTGATGCTCAGTGTGGCATTGTACTGTTTGCCCCCAGCCGAGCACTGTTGGGACCTCGGGGCTGAACTGATGCTCGGTGTGGTTGACGGATATGTGGTATGGCGGTGCTTGAGTTCGTAAGTGGGTCTTACTTAGGTCCAGGTTGGTTTTGAAAGAAAACAATTGTTTTCCCCCACCTAGAGCTAAGTAAGATTGGTACTGAAGATTGTGCCCTTGTGTAGAACTGCTTGAGTCTGTTTCAACTTAGATAGCATACGTGCATTTGAATGCGATAAAGGCATGAAGAGGTGTCTTACTCAGGTCTAGGTTGGTTTTGAAAAACAATTGTTTGCCCCCACCTGGAGTTAAGTAAGACTAATGCTGGAAGTTTACTCCTGATAAAACCTGGGCATGCTTGTTCCAACTTGTTTGTTTGAATCAGTACTGAAGTGTTGACGTGTTGGTACTTGAGGAATTCTATGGATTCAAAGATGTTTACTTAAGATATGTTAGTGTGGTTTCTACCAAGCAATTCCACTTGGCTAAAGTCCAATTTAGTTGCCAAACATTATTCCACCAAGCAATTCCACTTAGCATGTTTGAGTGCTAACCAAATTTAAATTCCGTTCAGTCGTTCTGAAACTAAGTCCATTTGGGTTAAGACCAAAGTTAATTCCGTTTGATAAACATCAAAGCTAATTTCATTTGGTAAGGACCAAAGCTAATTCCATTTGATAAACATCAAAGCCAATTCCGTTTGGTAAGAACCAAAGCTAATTCTGTTTGGTAAGAACCAAAGCTAATTCCGTTTGATAAACATCAAAGCTATTTCCGTTTGGTAAGAACCAAAGCTAATTCCGTTTGATAAACATCAAAGCTAATTACAAGAATTTGATAAATTTGAGAGAAGTGACGAAGGATTTGCATTGGTCAACAGATAAATGTCTTTACATTCTGATAGAGAAGGTGGGGGACAATTCTATTGATAGTATTTCTTGAGATTTGCTACGTTCCAGCGCCGAGGTATAGCTCTGCCATTAAGATCCTTTAGGTGGTAGGCTCTATCTCCAACGACAACTGTGACTTTGTAGGGACCTTCCCAGTTAGGCCCAAGTTTGCCCTCACTAAGCACCTTTTTGTGATTCATAACTTTTCTCAAGACCAGTTCTTCTGGTGTAAATTACCTTGGGAAAACTTTTTGGTTGAAACTCTTGATCAGCTGTTGCTGATACGCTACAAGTCTGATCAGTGCTGCTTCTCTTCGGCCCTCTGCCATATCTAGTGCTTGTGCAATAGCTTCCTCGTTGCTGGTGCTCTCAAACAATTCAGACCGAAGGGTTGGGAGGCCGACTTCGAGTGGGATGACGGCCTCTATTCCATAAGTTAGTGACTAAGGTGTTTCCCCCGTTGATCGTCGTGCTGTGGTTCGATATGCCCATAGCACGTGGGGTAATTCTTCAACCCATTTTCCTTTGGCATGCTCAAGCCGTTTCTTTACTCCGTTGATGATGGTTTTGTTTGAGGCTTCTGCCTGTCCATTGCTTTGCGGGTACCCTGGAGAAGAGTTCCTATACTCGATCCTGAGGTCGGCATAAAACTTTCTGAAGATCTTACCATCAAACTGTGTTCCATTGTCTGCAATCAGTACTCGCGGGATGCTGAAACGCACCACCATATTTCTCATAACAAACTGCTTCGTATCTGCCTCTTTGATATTTGCCAATGCCTCGACTTCAACCCATTTAGTAAAATAGCCGGTTGCTGCAATGAAGAATCGCCTGTTCCCAGTGCCTCGTGCCAATGGTCCGACAATATCCAGACCCCATTGGGCAAAGGGCCATGGGCTGGTGAGTGGGGTGAGAGTTTTGGCTGGCTGATGAATGAATGGAACAAACCTCTGACATTTATCACACTTCTGTACGTACTGCTAAGCATCTTGTTGCATCCGTGGCCACCAATACCCGTGAGTGAGGGCTCGGTGCGCCAGCGACCTTCCGCCAACGTGGCATCCACAAATCCCATCATGAATTTTGTAGAGAACATTCTCGACCAGATTTGGATGCACACATAGAAGATAAGGGCCAAGATAGGAGCGTCTGTATAGCTTCCCGGATGGTGAGATCCAAAACCGAGCTGACTTGTGTCTGACTTTGTTGGCTTCCTTTTGTTTTCGGGGAGAGTACCAGATTTTAGAAAAGCAAGCATTGGATCCAACCAGCTCGGCTCTAAGCTGCTGCAGAGGACTGGAGATGCAATGCTTGGCTCTGGCATGAACTCAACCCAAACTTTTCTGGCATCTTTGGTGTCCACTGATGAGTCGAGACAAGCCAAAGCATCAGCATGGCCATTTTTGTCCCGACTAATTCGTTCCACTCGTATGGATTGAAACTTTTTGAGTAAGTCTTTGGCCTTGCCTGCGTATATGGCCATTCTTTCATCCCGTGTTTCGTAGACCCCAGAAAGCTGGTTTACCACTAGCTGTGAATCGCTGAAAATAAGAAGTTGTTCTGTACTGAAGTGTTCGGCACTGCGTAAGCCAGCCAACAACGTTTCGTACTCTGCCTCGTTGTTCGAAGCCTTCCAACCGAGCCTGAGAACCTATTCCCAGATAAATCCTTCTGGTGAGATAAGTACTACTCCTGCCCCCGAACCTCGGTTATTGGACGACCCGTCAACATAGAGCTGCCAGATGTTTCCGCTGAAGAGTTTCCAGGCTTCCGAAGCGCAGGGTTTTCCTTGTTCGGTGATGCGTGGCACCTGTGCCGAACTTAGGTTCCCCGGTTCGGTACTCTGGGTGGGAGCAAATTTTGCGACGAAATTTGCTAAGACCTGGGCCTTAATTGCTATCCTGGGTTGATATCGAATGTCAAACTCGCCAAGTTCTACTACCCATTTTGCTGTTCTGCCAGAAAAATCGGCTTGGCTAAATACAGATCTGAGGGGGAATTCAGTGAGGACATTGATGGTATGCCCTTGGAAGTAATGTTGTAACTTCCTCGAGGAGATAAGTAGCGCGTAAGCTAACTTTTCCAATGGTAGATACCGTGTCTTGGCATTTAGTAAAGTCTTGCTAACGTAGTATACAGGCCTCTGTTCCTTGTTAACCTCTCGAATTAATACTACGCTTACGGCATGATCTAAGACTACTAGATAGAGGTACAGTTCCTTTCCTGGCTTTGGAGCGGACAGAAGGGGAGGTGTACTGAGGTATTTTTTGAGACTTTGCAGTACTTCGGTGCACTTGGAACTCCATTCAAATGCTGCCCTTTTCTTCAAAAGTTGGAAGAAGGGCTTTATCCGATCTGAAGATTTGTTGATGAACCGATTCAGTGCGGCCGCCATTCCAGCCAGTTTCTGCAGCTCCGTAGCCTTTGTTGGTACTTCAAGATCTTGTATTGCTTTTATTTGGTCCGAATTCGCCTCAATTCCTCTGTGAGTGACCATATATCCCAAGAACTTCCATGTTCATACCCCGAAAACGCATTTCAAGGCATTGAGGCGAAGCTGATGGTTTTTTAAGATGCCAAAAACTTCTCTCAAGTCTGTAAGATAGTCTGTAGCGAACTTACTCTTGACTACCATATCATCTATATAAGCTTCCATGGTTTTTTCCAATTGGTCTTTGAACATCCGAGTGATCATTCGTTGGTAGGTTGCCCCAGCGTTCTTGAGGCCGAATGACATTACTTTGTAGGAGTAAGTTCCCCTTGGAGTGATAAATGCTGTCTTTTCTTGATCCGGACCGAACAGTGGTATCTGATGATAACTGCTATAAGCGTCTAGAAAGCTCATGCGCTCATGCCCTGCTGTTGAGTCTACTAGTTAATCAATGCGAGGCAGCGGAAAGCTATCTTTAGGGCAGGCTTTGTTCAAGCAAGTGAAGCCAACGCAAACTCTCTATTTTTCGTTATTCTTCTTGACTACAACTGTGTTAGATAGCCATTGCGGGTACTGAACTTCTCTGATTGCTCCTAAAGCCAGGAGTTTTTCGACTTCGGCAATTACTGCTTCAGTGTGCTCAACTGAGGATCTCTAACTTTTCTGCACAATGGGCCGAGCTGAAGGGTTGATGTTGAGTTTGTGGCAAGCAAATTCTGGGTCCAACCCTGGTGTATCATATGCTGACCATGCGAATACCTCTATATTTTCCCTCAGCAGTTCCAACAGCTGAAGTTTCTCATCAGTGCCTAGCGAGGTACCGATAAGAAAGTACTTTTCTGGGTCATCCTCTGTTACCAAGACTTTCTCCAAATCCTCTACCATATTTTTCTCTAGGGTTCCCCCTACATCTTCCAAAACTAGCTGTTCGGCCACTTCTACTGTCTGTACCCGATTGCAGAGCTGTTTTGCCTTTAATGCTGCCATGAAGCAATGTTTGGACGCAACTTGATCCCCTGAGATCTGCTCTACTCCGTGTTCCGTTGGGAAATGGATGAGCTGGTGGTAGGTTGAAGGGACTACCTCCATTTGATGAGTCCATGGGCGGCCAAGTATGGCGTTGTAAAGGGATGGTGTATTAATAACCAAGAACTCTATCTGAAGGGTTTTTGTTCCCGCCACGACTGGTAACACTATTCTGCCAAGCGGCCATTTTGGCTGTGAATTGAAACCGACCAACGAGGCTGCCGCTGGGGTGAGGTGCTGCTCGGAGAGACCAAGCTTTCTAAACAAATCATAATACAATATGTCTGCTGCACTACCTTGATCTACTAGGACTCGTTTTACGTCAAATCGTTTCCTAATTTCCATAGTTATAATCAGTGCATCAATATGTGGGTGCTGTATGCCTTCTAAATCTTTGCTAGTAAATGAAACAGTACATAAGGGGGATTTAGGTACTGTACGTACCTTTTTCGATGCAGGCTCCACTGATATGACCCTCTAAATTTGCACAGCCTTAGCGATCTATTCTTTTAGTGCCTCATCAGATTCCTGAGTCGCTGTCCCGTGGATCACATTTATTATCAACCGAGGTAGGTGCTCAACATTTGGTTCTAGTGGCGAGTTCCCCAGGTCGGCCACTTCCTTATCCTGATCAATGTAATCCCTTAGGTGCTCGGCTGCCACTAGGTCTTCCAAGTGTTGCTTCAGTGCCTTGCAGTTCTGAGTCATGTGCCCCCTGTCTTGGTGGTAGGTGCATCTGAGCTTCTGATTGCGCTGAGCTGGATCTCCCAACATTTTCGGCGGCCAAACAAAGAAGGGTTCTCTCTAGATCTTTTCCAGAATTCAATAGATTGGCTCTTTGAATACAGTCACAACGGCTTCGTGGGATTTGGACTTATCCACTTCATTCACTGCAATCCCTCGGTGTTTTTCTCGATCTGTTCTCTTCTTGTGCCGAGCTGTTTGTTCTGCTGATGCTTCCTCGATGGGGATCTGTTCGTCCTTGAGGCGAGCGTACTGCTCAATCCTGGCACGCAAATCTTTTAAAGCTGTGGCCGGGCACTTGGTAAGTGATTGTCTCAGCTTACTTTTCGAGCGCAGACCATGTTTGAAGGACATAACGACCATCTGTTCGTTGCACACATTTTTCTCCAGGTCATTGTACTCTTCCTAGTACTTCCTAGCATAATTGCACAGCGTTTCCTCCTGCTCCTTTCGGAGACCGAACAGTGTATCTGGCTTCTTCGGGATCTTAGTGTTAGAGACGAACCTGGCTAGGAACTCTTCGGAGAGTTGCTTCCAGCCATGGATCGATCCAGCGGGGAGACGATCGAACCATCGAAGTCCGATTTCTTTCAAGCTGGATGGGAAGACTTTACACATCAGTGCCTCATCTCGGTTCCATAGGGACGTCATCTGTCTATAATGGCTAATATGTGTCAGCGAGTCCAACTTCCCGTCGTATGAAGTGAACTTTGGTGGGGTGAATTTCTTTGGAGGTCTCAAGGTCTCAATCTCCAGGGAGAATGGCGAAGAGACGAGCCTGTCCAACGCTCGGTGTTCTCTCTGGTGAACAGTACGGTCTAGGTGATCCCGATCTTGTTCGTTCTGCCTATTGCCAATCAACTAAGTACGAAGGTCCTGAGGAGGGTATTCAGTCTATTGGCTAACTGTCTTCTGCCTCTTGGCCCTTCTCCGGCGTGACCCACGGGTGTGACTGCTTGCTGCCTCACTCTGTACTGGGATAGACTGGCTTTGTTGCCCAAACTCATTCCTGGGGAACTTCTTCACTGGTGGCTCTCTGGATGAGCTCCTCCGTTGCAAACGAAAGGGCTCCGCTTCCGTCGGATCGCCCAGCACCCTCTTAAGTTGGGCTTTCAACTCCTGTATCTCCATCCCCATGGAGTCTATGATTCGATCTTTATAATCCTTTTCCAGAAGAAAGTGATGAGAAGAACCTCCAACGAAGGGCAGTCGGTGCTCGACGGATTCGGGGGTTCGATTATTGTTTCCAGTTTGTTCCTCCGGGACGGTTGGGAGTGCCAAACCTTTGTCTTTCGTTTTCTCCGTCTGTGGAGTATGTGTCGAAGACGGAATGTCCTCAATCCCCATTGCTGGAACTGAGTGCAGAGCTCAAAGATGAAGTGATCCACATTCACCGCACCAATTGTGCGTATCGGATTCCGCACTAGATGAAAGTGGATCGGGGCTCCGCACTCGGTTAGACTATCCAGGGACTGAGGTTCCTACCACAGGAAACATCATTAGAGTTGCTCGGCCGAGGTTGGCCGGATAACCCCTCCGGTGTGGGAATTAGCAATTGGAGAAAAAATGTATCGAGAGTTGAGTTTGTATCTAAGTGTGATTTTGCTTAGAATTGTTCAGTTACCTTCAATGTGAAGTTCATGTTGTATATATCATGTTCCTTGCTTACTTCTCATGGTGGGTTCATGGAGTTTGGATGCTGCCAGATGTCCTTTAGCATTGCTCAAGGTGGAGGACCACCTAATAGTTGTCATTGAATGCATATACTCATTGTAGTCATGCTGATAGCAAACCGCATTCCTTTGATTCAATAACTTCCGTGATTCTAGGTGTAGGGGACCAACTGAGGTGGCAATTTGCACATGCACACATTTATAACTTCCACGTTTCTTTGCGAGGTTTCCTCAGCTCGGTACCACTGTGCCTCAGCTCGGCATCATTATGCCTTGTCTCGACCTTTTACAGGATCATTCATAGAGATGGGCTGATCCATTCGGATATCTTTGTATGGGCTTGGCCCATTTTTTGCTCGACCCATAGGTTCAGTCTCGCAGCTCGGCCCAGCCCAGCACCACGGCTGGACTAGCCTTTCCACTGCGGGTTGGGCCCAAGTGCTTGAGGACCTGGGTGGACTGTTGATCATGAAGTTAGGCTCAATTGGTTTGCCCATATACTCATCCAGCCCACTTGGATTCGGACTTCAGTGGATTGGGCCGGCCCAAGGCTTGGACCCGACCCATTTCACATTTAGCCCCTTCATGCGGTCTGAGCTGTGATTGTGTGTCTTGGGTTGAAGCTGGTTGCATATGGTTTGCAGATCTGTTAGTCTGTTTGCTTATCATTGAGGTTTGGTTGAGCTGATCTGTTGGTTTTGCTTTGCTGATCTGTTAGTCTGCTCCGTTTTGTTCTGCTGATCTGTTGGTTTTCTCTTGTTTTGGTTGTTGGTTTCTCACCAACTGGAGCTTGGTCTTGCAATTATGAACTAAACAATAGTTGAAAATGAGTCAAATAATACCACATTCATAATGTATGTTAAGGTTAGGAGACCAAGGAAAATGGTAAAATGTGTTAACATGCTTCACATGTAGAACACAAATCAAGCAAACAACACATGCAAGAAGAATATCACACCTGAGTTATTGGTCAGAAACTGATAGTTCAAGGATAACTTGTTCTTAATCAACAAATATAACAAAAGAAAATAGAATGTGATTGGTTGGATTCCAAAGCCATTAACTGCTAACAATCACGTATTATCTGGTCTGGTCACAAAGCCATAACACTATAAGACATGGTTTCATAACTCGCAGCCTACAGCAGTTTGATTATTTTTAATTGAAAAAAAAGGAGGGACAAAACACTATGGCATAATAGTGATCCCACAATCTTCATTGATTCATCAGAATATAGGAACATAGGCATGTGAGCTCAAGCTTTAAGTTCTCAAGAATTAACCGATAGTAATTATAACGTAATTACTTAAGCTTCATTTAATGATTCACAACCCAGATACCAAAGCATGCGAAGGTACATGCCCAAAAAGCTTTCTCACTCATACAATCATGACATGAAGCTTCAAAGTTGGAACATTTTGCTCATTGTCATTCATTATTTAATTTTATTCAAGCTTATGTTAACTTGTGCCTAAAGTTGACTCTAGTAAAACTAGTGAAATAAACCTAAAGCGAAAAAAAAAAAGAAGAAGAAGTGCCTACAGTAAGATAAAAGTAAGAGAGCAAAACCCACCTGGTCTCTCTTGCAATTGAAATACGTTTCCCGTAGTCCGACACATTCGC